CTAAATTTCTTCTACTTCACAACACTGTTATTGGAAAACAGCTTTAAAATTTACTCAGATTACATAACTGGCCTCAAATATTTTAATAAATTTGAGCTTCTGGGAGACTTGTGCTTCCTGACATTGGCCTACACCCTGGAAAGCTTGTCAATGCCACAGCAAAAGCACCTGCCTCAAGGAAAATTTTGAAATAACAAAGAATTAGTCCCACAGGTGTTTGTGTACGGAATGTATAAGTTTACTTGACTTCTTTGTCTTATAGGTTACAAGCCACAAAAGTACAGAGACAGAGTCAACTTGGAGGTGACTCCTAATAGAAATAGGTAAGACATGAATCTGCATCTCTCAAAGAAAAATGAGCCTGTTATTAAGGGCCTACTCTGAGTTAAGTATGGAGCTGGGGATTTTGGTGTATGTCATCTCACGCTCTCCCTGTACCCATCTTCAAGATGAAAGGACATTTGACTGAGATCACAGAGAAGTGAAACCAGTATACACCTATGTCTCCTTGATCATAAAATTCCTGTGCACACTGTCTGTCTACAATAGGACATAGCAGAGCATCCAGCGAAGGAGAACAAGCACGAAAGCACGCCCCGAGTTACAGGTAAGTGTGATGCACTTCTGGTTAGTGATGGTAGTGCAGGCTTCCCCAAACTGTGGCCTCAGCTCTGGGTTCCTGAGGAGGGACAGGAGCTCAGTGGCTGAGGACTGTTGCTTCCCAATGGAAACACCATGAGAACATGGAGTCTTGAGGAAGAGTAACGCAGATGGACTAGAACTGAGTGGTAAGTGGCAGAACAGTGGATGAAAAGATACAAATGAAAAGAAAGGCCCCACTCGGTCAAGACAGTTAGTACTGCAAGTTTATCACTCTAAAATTCTATTTAGAGCCTTTGGGTGAGGGAATGATGAATTCAAAGTAGGAAAATTAGTCTAGGAGCAGGTCACCTTGGGGGTGTTAGTCAAGGTGGCCTCAAAGAACAAGCTGTGGGAAAACATGGGAAGAAGTGGGATGTGGAGAGGACTCACTACCACGTGGTTAACTGCCCCAGGAACAGGAAGATGCTCAAGAGGGTTCCCAGTGCAGAGAACTGGAGACACAGAGGGTACCACTCACTAGGTAAGGAAGGCAGGATGCACTGGGTTTAGCAGTAAGTCTCCCACATCTCGAGTGGTTTGATAGACATAACAGAATATCATTCACAATTAAAAAAGATAAATAGTAAGAAAAATATTGGATGGTTTCACTTACGAGGAATATAGGGGAACCAAATAAGGGATGGGGGGGGAAACGGGGTAACAGTGACAGAGGGAAGAGCACAAGTGAGCTGGTGGCAGGAATTCTATGCGGACTACACCTGAGAAAATACTGTAAAAAGAAAAAGGTGTAAAATATAAATTAAAAAAAATGGTAATTTGTCTAAATGGACAAAGTTGGAGAGAGACTGGAGTTCTTTTTGCATATCTCGTTAATAACTTGTGGAAGAGGAGGGTGGGGAGAAGGAACTCCGCACTGAAATCAGGACTTAGGAAAAGGGCAGGACCTGGCAGTGGAGCCTGAGCAATCTGAGTACCTCCAACTGACCTTCTTAGGGCAAGGAAGGGCATCCTTAATGTGAGACCTTGTCAGTAACCCCAAACCTCCAGTCCTGCCACTTGGTAAGAAACACCCCACACTGCTCCAAGACAAAAATTGTACCCTGAACTAATATTTCGTTAACAGCCCATTCTCCTCTAAGGCCAGCATGTTATCTCCAAGGCCGCATGTGATCTGGTTGTCCTCTTCTTCAGGCCCTGCTCAGCAAGCAGGAGCTAGTAACTGGAGACACACTGCATTATCCCACCCCCACACCCCCCTCTCCTGAGATCTCTGAAATAGCCAACTCCTGTTTCCACCCAGCTTAGACACCATCTCTTCTAGGAAACCTTTTCTGACACTGTTGTTCGCCCCCTGCGGAGCCCCCAAGGGTTTCACAGTCTGTATAAACTTTCCTGCTGTTTCCCTTAACACAGCAGCTAGCAGAACACGCAAAGCAGCAAGAATTCCTGTCTCCTTGGGCTAGTGCTCATCATCACAAGTTACCGTGGAGGGGGAGAGATGGAAAGATTTGGCGCATCCACTGAAGGGAACGAGACAAGTGAATAAAGACCTACGGAAGGAATGGGGTTGGCAGGGTGCTAGCGAACACTCTGCCCACTTTCTTCAGCCCAACACAGAAGCACAGGGATGGATTTTAGGGTGACTACTCAAGCCAGCGAGCACCGAGGTCTGCAGAGAGGTGGCAGGGCGGGTCTGAGCACACTAATGCTGAGAGGAGAATGTGGCGATAAACGAAGAGGACATGTGACCAAGTCACAGCAGATAGGAGTTCAGACTCGAACCCATGGTATTGTCAGTGGGGATAAACTTAGGACTCTGAAACATTATCTGTGCCTTCATAACTAACAAGACAGTAAAAATCACTGTCAGTAAAAATCACTGTCATTTAATCAATAGTGTTTTAAAATGTTTTCCAGATGCAGGTAACAATGGTGTTTTCCGTACTACCTCCCTTTAGAATGACACAGCAACACTCACCTGAACAGCCCACAGATGCAGGAATCCCAGATATATCCTTGCAGCATTGGCCCAAGAAACACAAGACCCGTAGGTCAGAATCACCCACAGGTGCCATCTTGCCAGCCTTGCTGTTATCAGCACTGGTTGGCACTATCTTGGAACCCACCCTCTCTACTCCCGGACCCTGAAGGCAAACCCCTGACGAGGGTACCATTCCCGTTCTCTGAAGTAGTCAAGCCAGCTGAGAGCTCCCAGGGCATCTACTCCTAGGAACAAGGAGCAGCCCAGCCATGCTGGTAAAGGCTCAGGCTGAGCCCACAGCCCTGCTCACACAGCACATTGTGGACCAGGGCCCCCGCCAAGCCCCACCAATGTACTGGCTGGGCTGCCAGTCACACCCTGTGCTGCCAGACACTACAGCTGCATGGGTGTAGTCCACAAAACAGACACACAATTGAGGGACAACTAGGGGTTTTTGGAGGAGGGTGGACCATGTCCGTAGACTCATCCTGTTAAAAACAACTATAAAACCACACTAGAGCTAAGATAGGTAGCAATGGATTTCATATTCCTTTCAAAATGATACATACTTTCCCCTCTAAGAGTCTGTGCAGGGATTTCTCCCACAAAACAATCTTGAGTCTGTAACAACATTCCAGTGTGCTATGATTTCCATATATAAAGCTCTTTTAAAATCTGATCCAGTTGTAAACAGACACTGTTAGAATAAATCAGGGGAAAAGTCCAGAAAATGATGCCTCTGTGTGCCCCTTAGAAACAGATCCTGGAGCCCCTGGGTGGGCAGAGCAGCCACCACGCCTCCAGTGTTAGCTGCCCTGTGGCAGTGGGGAGGTTAGCATTGTTAAAATGACCATTTTCCTAAAGCAATATAACCAATTTAATGTAATCCCCAACAAGATCCCAAGGGCATTCTTCACAAGAACAACAAAAAGTCCTGAAATTTGTAAGGAATCAAAAAGAACCTGAATAACCAAAAGAAGCCTGAGAAAAACACAAAAATGGAGATATCATGCTCCTTGACTTCAAACTAGACTATAGAGAATGGTATTAGAATAAAAATAGATACACAGATCAATGGGAAAGAATGGGAGAAATAAACAAATATACATATAGACAGAGAACTTATGAAACAAGAATATAAATGGAGGAAACTGTCAATGAATGGTGCTAGAACAACTGAACAGTCACACACAAAGAATGAAATGAGATTCTTATGCTACATCACAAATTAAATTGGAATGGATTGAATATAAGTTCCACAACCATAAAATACAAGAAAACATACTGATAAGCTCCTTAACAAAAGAGAATGTAAACAATGGGGCTACACTGTATAAAAAAATCTTTCTGCAGAGCAAAAGAAAACAACTGAATGAAAAGGAAGCAACTGAAAGGGAGAATGTATTTTTATCAGACAAGGGGTTAACATCAAAACACACAGTGAACTTGTAAAAACTACCTGTTTAAAAAAAATAGGCAGAAAATCTAACAGGCATTTCATCAAAGAAGGCATTCAGATGTCCAACAGACACATGAAACAATATTCTTCATTGCTTGCCACTAGGGTTGATTGAAAACACAATGACACTTCACCTCATACCTGTTAGAATGGTTACTATCCTAAAGAAAAATAGTATTAGGAGGATGCAGAGAAAAGGAATACTATGCATTGTAGGTGGGAGTGTAAACTGGTGTAACGACTATAGAAAACAGCCTGCTGTTTCTTCAAAAAGTTAAAAATACAAGTATCACAAGATCCAGCAATTCTACTTTTGAAGATCTAGCTGAAGAACATAGAAATACTAACCTGAGAAGCAATAGCCATGTTATGGAAACATCTTAGTGCCCTCTGGCAGAAGATTAGATAAAGATGATGTGGTATATGCACACTGGAATGCTACTCAGCTATTTTTTTAAAAATTGAATACTGCCATATGTGACAACATGGATGAACCCTGAGGGATGATGCTAAGTCAGAAGACATACTGTAACATTTTACTCATTTGTGCAGAATGGCAGTTCCAGAGGGGAAGAGGTTGTGGGGTAGAGGGAACTATTGGCTGGGGGTGGGTACAATGTGAACACGGTTGTTTGGAGGTGAAGCTGTGTCCTGACACTTAAACAGTCTCCCCAACGATTATTAACAACAAAAATCTGCTAGCTGGTACAACCTGTTGGCACTTTAGAACACATTTCAAAGTTAGAGGACCATAAACACTGCAGAACTAATACCTTTTGGGAGGTCATTTTTCTGTCAATTTCAGGACGCAGCCCGGTGTTTGGTTACAGAATCTGAATTTTATCCGGCTTTCATTTTGAAATAATTTTTCACAAAGCATGAAAAATAAAAACCCCTCTAGCCCCTCCCTCCCAGGCAATTTCTTCATGTATTGTCTTAGTATCTGAGAACACTTACCACAGATGAAGCAAGTTGTCTTTAGAATTTCTTCTTTTTTCTGTTTTTCACTTCTGAGATCAGCAAAAGTATCAATGATAACACCAAAAATCAAGTTGAGAACGATAATGATAACAATGAAGTAAAACAGAAGGTCATACACCACTCGGGCAGCAAATAAGGGCTCCTGAAATAAAAATTAAAAGATGTAAATATATACACACATACACATTTTAAGGGCAAGTTAGTTTAGTATATTGTCCAGCATACAGAATAGTCAACAACAGTTGCTAAATACATATAAATATACTACTACAAATTGGAGAGAAAAAAAGACCCACTTTATTTTACATTTGTGAAAACAGCTTCCCAACCCACCAAGAGCCCTTTCCTTCCCCTTCTCTTGGACAGCTCTACCTCTCCCCTGCCATGTTTTATTAACAGTCATCTTCTCACATCATACCTCTAACTCAATCTTGGCGCAGTGGGTCCCTCTCCCAGAAGCTGCACAAGAAGTGGACAAATGCCAATTCCAAAAGCCAGCAATTAGGCAGCTGAGAAGGGCTATGATTGGTCATTTTCTGAAACAGGTGTTCTTGGCCCAATAAGGTCAAGTACAAAGCTCAAGCTCATCTCCATATGACCAACAGTATTAAAACATGTATGTCCAGCTGGTTTGCAGGGAAGGAAACAGTGGGTGAGTTGAGAATGTGATATATTATTTTTTAAGTCTGGCATTCAAGAACTTGTAATTAATAGGAAACTTCTCAGCTTTGTCATTTTAACATATGAAATGCTGTTAGGCGGTGTTCAAACTTTACAAAGGGAAGCAAAGGGCTCACTCACCTTGGCTGAGGAATCTGATAATCAAGCAGCAGCCCACTTCTGTTATTATATAACAGTCAATTCCTCAGGTTGGGAGCCACAATTTTGTGGATGGAATACAACGCACAGCTCAATCTTGAAAATATTCCATCATCATACTAACTTGCATAGGTATTAAGTATATTTGTTATATGTCAGTATAATCTGCATAATTAATTGGTGTTAATAGTGACTGTTATTACTTTGAAAGCAAATGACACACCATAGCACCCTGAAAGCCAAAGCCCTTTTTCACAAGCTATAAAGAAAGGTTGAAAGACTGGTCAAGTGTGTCTTGAAAAAATACTTCTCCAGCTTACATCTTTTGATGGCCGCCTCAGCACGTCGCCCACACCGCCCCCGTTCCTTAGGCCCTGGTTCAGGACCGTGACAATGCACATGAGGAGGGTGTCACAGGTCCTCTCGATGCCATCTTCATACTCTCCATCTGCTATAAGAACACAAAGATTAAACAGTGCCACAAATGCACATTTAAAAGTACTCTCCTAGGTACTTCCAAAGATCTATTTGTCAGTGTGCATGATGAGATTTTTTTGAAGTCACATGTCATCAATTTTGGAGATGATAGCACATGACTGAGTCAGATGGTTGAATCCACTGTTTTAATATCCTGAATGATTTCTCTGCTGTAGGTGGAAACGACAGCCCTTGAAAAGGGCAGCATATGGAAAGCCTGTAGCGGGGTGCCTCCTGGCGGTGTGGGGAGACTGCAGGGAAACCTTCTGGAAAGACCATCAGCTCGCTAGGGAAAAGACTGTGCACAGGAAACTAAAGGGACCTGCTTCAAATTCTCCTCTGTTCAGTCCTGGGACCTGGGCAATGATTTAGCCTTGAGGGTCTCATCTGTAAAAGGGGGGGGCTATTAAAGGATTAAGCTCCTCAGAGGATTTAAGACAAATGTCAAACACTTTGCACGGAGACTAGCGGACCCAGAACAGGTGCTTAGTAATGTGGACTAAAAGTTCATTAAATTGGTTAAGTGGCTAAGCCTTCTTGATGGCCAGCATGGAGCCACAGATAAGAAGCATAATGTTTTCATGTGAAAAAGTGATGCGAATGTATTTCTCTGAAATTATTTAGGAATAAATGGGGAGAGAGAAAAGGCTACAACGTGACAGTAACCCTCTAATCTCTCTGTGTTTAAAGGTCAAGCCACCACATGTGGTAGTAATTTCCCAGTCAATTAAAATGGTGAGAAGTTCATACTCCGTGGGATATGAGAACCAGGATTGCACTTTAGCTGTTACAAGGTGGAAGGACTGCCTGGGTGTTGGCTTTTGGAATTGTGTACATGCAGTCTTCGTGCCAAGAAACAACTATTAAAACCACCACACCCAAAGGGAAAAAGGAAAGGGTCCCTCTGGCTTGTCTCCACCACCCATGACTGAGAGCTTGTGGTAATTTGTTACAAAAAGGCTGATTTCCTCTCCTGGCCTGACTGGTCTGTCATGTGCTGGGGGCGAGGGGGACCCAGTTTTTTCACTTTATTATGATCTGCTTTTTTGTGAAACACGTGGGAAACATTGAGGAGCAGCACGAAGACAGCTGGGCTGTCAGAATGTGGTGACGAGGAGAGCAGCAGACCGAGCCCCAAGGCACGTTTGGAGTTGGAAAGTAGAAGTAAAACAGCTTTTGGAGGAAGGAGAAATGGGGAAGAGGTAGGATTGGTGTGGGCTGCAGTAAGGAGGCAAGGGGGCAGAGAAGGCAGTGAGGAAGCTCAGTCTGTCACGAACGGGGGTGCAATGTATGCTGGTGGGTTCTGTGGGGTTGACCCAACAGAATGGGGAGAAAAACAAATGTGTAAGAGAGGACTTTTATGTGTGTGAAAGGACTTTTAAAAGACCCACAGTTCTCCAGTAAGAAAGTTGTGCAGACAGTGTCTGTGACTGGGCCCATCAGACTTTCAGTCTAGCTCTTTTCTGCAGAGTGGCAGGGTCTGCATTTATTCGCTGACCAGCAGCCACCTGAGCGTATCACACTTATGAAACTTACTATTGACAGTTTTACAGTCTTTGCCATATGGAAACAACCTGAGCTACTGATGGATGAATGGATGAAGATGGGTGCACACACACACACACACACACACACTACCATATGCAACATACAGGATACTATGCGAAGTGAATAAAAGACAAATGCTATTTGAGTTCACTGATATACAGTATTAAAACAAAACAAAATGACTGACCATAGATGCAAAGAACTGTTGCAAGATGCAACAGATACAGTTGAAGGGAATTAAATAGTACAAATTTCCACTTACAAGTAAGTCCTGGGATGTCATGTACAGCATGGTGACTATAGTTAATAAGACTATGTTGCACCTTTAAAAGGCACAAAGGGACTTGATCTTTAACGTTCTCATCAGAAAACATTTTCATATGTGTGGTGATGAATGCTAACTTACTGACATACACCAAAATCAAATCATTATGTTGTATTCCCAAAACTAATACATTACTGTATGTCAACCAAACGTCAATTTGAAAAAAAAAAGCAACTTGGTAGTGTAAGGTTTACCAGCACATAGAAACTACAGCTAAGTATCTAGAAATGATGGTGTTGGTTCTTGACGCAGGAAAGTAATAAAACCCACACACAATTTGTGTGACTAGCCACTGTGAAAGAAAACAGTCCAGGGCACAGCTACAGAATGAGAAACCTGGCTTTCTGTGTGGCCTGCAAGCAGGGCGAAGGCCAAGCCGGCCAGGCTGCGGGCAGCAGCTGCCTGCCAAACTGCTCTACAGCCATCAGTGCAGAGCTTGCTGCTATTGTGGAGTAACCTCTCCTAGCTGGGGGATCAGGTTCCACCTTTGCCATGTGGATCCACTTAAATATGCAAATCAAGGGCTGGTCGTAGGATTGAAAGCCAGGCCCTGAATCACAGTGAGCTGACAGAGGAAACGACACCTTGTGGACACCTATCAGTGCAAGCAGTTGGACATGGCCACAAACTAGCCTTATACCATGACACCACCAGCCCCTGGGCCAGGTGCTAGGAATACAGGTGGGAAGGTCAAAGTGTGCAGCTCCTAAGAGGTCAGAGGCCCCCAGGAATGGTGGGTCAGCAGGTGGGCAGAGCCAGGGAACCAAGGAGACAGATGGATGAGCCTTTCTAGGGCTGGGGTTTTAGGGTGGTGTCCTAAAGGGGCTGGCTGAATATGGAAAGGAGCATGCTTGGCCAGCAAAACCAGGGAAGTAAGATCCAGGCAGATAAAATAGACTGAGCCAAGGTCAAGAGATAGGAATTTGCATCAGATGCTTCGGAACTATGGGCCTGTGGTACGTGCAGACAAGAGTGGGACCCGTGAGAAGGGGAGCAGGCACCCACCAAAGGTTATCCTGAAACTTTATCCAACTTCATCTTGAATGTCAGGGACCCAATGGAGACCTCTAAGCAGAGGCAAGGAAGGTGCCTCTCTAGTGGATGAAATGGGATGAGATAAATGCAGGTTCCTAAAATAACAAGACAGGCCAGAGGTGTGGAGGGTGAGCGGATGCACCAGAGACAGAGTGGGGAGCAGAAGAGGCAGAATGACTGGAATATACTGCTGACAGGAGCAGTGGGCAGGTCAGGAGAGAGGTCTGCCACTGCATGAAATAAATAAATAAATGTTTAAAAAAAATAATAAAACAACAAAACAAATTAACATGATGAAAGTCACTATCTAGGGAGAGAACCAGCAATGCTATGGAAAAGAACGGAAGTCTGCTGGCCTTTTATAGTTAGGGACCAAGACAGGGGCAGAGGCATCTGCATTGCCTGGGCAAAGATGCCCAGAGGGAAGAGCAAATAAACCAGTCTGTGGAGGAGTGGAAGACAGAGCTGGGAAATAAATGGGGAGCTCTTTGTGAGGCTCCAGGGTGGGTTGGATTTTGTTTGGCAGGCAATGGGGCATGGTGGCAATCTTGGGCTGGGGATAGAGGAGGAAATATTCAAAGCAATGATTTCTGACAGTATCTAGTGGTGATATACTGGGTGAGCTGATGAGGAGACAATGGCTGGAGGTAGACGGGCCACGCCATAATTCAGCATGATGTGCTATGGGCCTCAACAGCATAACAGCCAGGAGATAGGGCAGGATGGATGATCAGGAACCAAAAGACTTGGGGAGAGCGAAGGTAGCAGTAAAGAGCGCATGAAAGGGTCCAGTCAGGTGACTTGGGAAAGGATGCTCCTGTCAGACCAATGAAACAGATAATTTTTTTATTGTTATGCAGAAGAATTGATGTAGGCCAGAGATGTGGGGGTGAGAGGACTCATCAGAGACAGAGTTGCCATCCAGAGCGGCAGCCCAGGGCAAAACAGGTGGATCTACTAAAAGGCTTGCTAGATAGGAAAAGTCTCCTGTGCTATAAATGTGTCACCTCCCTAGCTGGGGACTGACTCAGGCCCTAATGAAGCCCTGGCCAGATAATTTACCAGAAAGGCCCTGGCCAGATAATTTAGGTGAAACTGAATGTTTGGGATTTTGATAAAGACGGGAAGAATCTCAAATGAATTTTGTGGTTTTAGGATAAGGTGGGGAAAAAAAATAAAGTCAAGAGGGACAAGAGAGCTGGGAAAGTTCTGTGACCCAAAGTTAAGGAAGAAAACAGAGAAAGTATCAAAAAATGTCAAAACTATAGCAAAGGCATTGAGACACAGTGACTGGATTTGACAATGAGGTCGTCAGGGAGATGCAGTAAGACAGCAAGTAGTGAAAGAAGAAAGATGATGTAGAAATGGAAGGAGAGTGTGTAGGCCAGTTGTTCTGTAGGACAATCTAGGGTTGAAAGGAAGGAGATTGATAGCATATTTGGGGAGATAGTGGAATGCAGAGGAAGTTTCAATGAGGACCTCGAGAGTATTTGTAGGAAGAGGAACAGATAGTAGCCAGGAAAGGATTGCAGACACAAGAAAGATGGTCCAATCAATGGTGGCTGAGGGTAATGATGAGAACAGAAGTAGTGATAAGAAGAAGCGAGAGAGTGTGGCCACTTTCATACAAAAGGAAAAAATTAGTGTAAACTGCTTAGTGGTAAAAGTAAATACACATTGCTGGAACTTAGAATATTACTAGACACATAATTAGGGGGCAATGAATGCTAGGTATAAGTAGCATTATTACTGATGGATAACTATTAAATCTTACACAAAGCGTTCATATAATCAACAAGTGCTATCAATTTAACAATATGAGGTTGTTACCCTCATTTTCAGTTTAGTGGTAGTATTTTTTAAAACTTCTAATAGAAATAAACATTTCGCTTGAAGAAAGTCATAAAAATGTAAATTTTACTGGCTCTTCCCCTTGATCTGAGGTGTTTGTAAGATTTTTTTTTTTTTTTTAAATACTGGACATGCTTGAATAAGGGTATTTAAAAATGCCATTTCTTTTGCTTTAAGAATTAAATTACTCATTTTTCATGGTTTCTCTGGAAACTAGCGTTAGTCATTGAGATATATTTGAAACTCTGAGCACGGATGAAAAGTTCTCGTGTTTAGTCTTATAGTTTTCATTATAATCAATTTATGATGGAAATGTTGACTTAAATTTTTTTTAACTAAAAAAAGTTAAACACTGGGCACCCAGCAGGAGAGAAAAATGTTGACATGGCATTAAGGCTCAAAGTATCTAATTCTTCAACAGTATTTTTTATTAAAGCATACACCAAGCCATATTAAACTGGCATTACTCATAAATAGTAGACCTCAGTGAACTTCTCTCTGTTCTGTACATTCAAATGATTTTTACTTCAAAAATAATGGTGACTGTATCTTAGAAATTGCCTCCAAAAGGCTTACTTTTCTAGAACATTATTATTACTTTTTTTTTTTCCACAGATGGGATGTCAGGGAGGTCTGCAGCAAATGAAATGAAAGTGCTTTTCCCTACACACAGCTGGTTGCCAGTTTGTGCGGCTTCTCAGCTCGGACAGTGACCTGTATGCATTGGCCAGGCCACTTGGCCTCCACAGAGCCATAAAGGCTGCTTATTCTGCCTCTGTGTGAGCTAAGCCTTTGTCGCTTGGACCTGCTGGCCACCATGTAGCAAGACAGGCTGTCAGAGATGCAACTGGGTTCTGCGAATTAAAATTTAATCCTGGTCTGAGATGCAGAGAGTTATTTTTAAATACAAGGTCCCATTCTCATCACAGTTTTACAGTTAAATATCTGGGACCAAAAGACAAGGTGGCAAGGGTGAGAAGATCAAATCCATGGAATTTTCAATTATATCTATATCATCACCTAAAATGTCAAAGGCAAAAAGGCACAGACATTCCTATATTCTTACAGACTGACTTAGGAAGGGCCATAATTGGGAGAAGCTGTTGCCGCCACTTCCGGCCTGGCTCCCGTTGTATCCCTGTTACACAGGCAGGGCTGAAGCCCCTCTGCCTCCCCTCTGGGGGCTGCCCAGCTCAGGTGGAGCCTAAAGAAGAGATTCAATACTATGCCTATAAAAATTTCAATGACATTTTCCAAAGAAGTAGAAAAAATACTGATGACAATCATATGGAGCCACAAAAACCTTGAATAGCCAAGGCTCTTCTAAATAAGAAGGAAGGGAATGGAGGTATCATACTCCCATACCTCAAACTATATTACAAAGCCATAATAATTAAAACTGCATGGTACTGGAACAAGAACAGACATATAGGTCAATAGAATTAAATAGAAAACCCAGATATAAATTCACAGCTTTATGGACAGCTTATCTTTGATAAAGGAGCAAAGAATATGCAATGTACCAAAGAAAGTTTGTTCAACAAATGGTGTTGGGAAAGCTGGACTGCTACATGCAAAAAAAAAAAAAATGAAGCTAGATTGCTATCTCACACCATACACAAAAACCAACTCAAAATGGATTAAAGGCCTAGACATAGACCTGAAACAATAAAATATCTAGAAGAAAATATTGGAACAATACATGACATCACCTCAGTAACATCTTTAAAGAAACATCACCCAGAGCAAGGATAATGAAAGAAAGGATAGACAGCTGGGACTAAAGAGCTTCTTCTGTATGCAAAAGAGACACTACATAAAACAGATACCCCACTGACTGGGAGAAAATTTTCACACATAATACAAATAATAAAGGACTGATCACAAAGATATACAAAGAGCTGACAAAACTCAACAAATATAAAGTGAACAACACCATCAAAAAATGGGCAGAAGAGCTAAAAAAGACACTTCTTCAAAGAGGAAATGCAGATGGCCAACAGACATATGAAAAAATGTTCAGCATCACTTGTAATAAGGGAAATACAATGAGATACCACTTCACACCCGTGACAATGACACATATTAAAAAAACAACCAACAATGAATGTTAGTGAGGGTGTGGAGAAAAAGGAGCTCTCCTACACTGCTGGTGGGAATGCAAACTGGTGCAACCACTATGGAAAGTTGTGTGGAGGTTTCTCAAACTACTAAAAGTGGAGCTTCCATAAGATCCAGCAATTCCACTTCTAGGTGGAATTTTGTGCCCAAAGGGCACAAAAACAATAATCAAAAAGACACCTGCACCCTTATGTTTACTGTTATCCTATTTACAATAGGAAAGATATGGAATCAACCCAAATGTCCAAAAGGAGATGACTGGATCAAGAAGATGTGGTGTATATACACAATGGAAATACTACTCAACAATCAAAAAAGATAAACCTATGCCATTTGCAGCATGGGTTTCTAATTCCACCTGGGTGGAACTAGAAAAGATCATGCTTAGTGAATAAGCCAGAAAGTAAAAGAAAAATACTGGATGGTTTCACGCATAGCAGGAGTGTAAGGGATCAACCAACAACTATAAACCAGAGACACCCTATGGGGGTGGAGAGAGGAACAATATCAAAACTGGGGTGGAAAGAGTACATGGAACCATGGTGATGGCACATGATTGAAGTGGTGGTGGGAAGTCTACAGGGATTACAACTGAGATGAAAAGATGTACAAAATGAAGAATAATGTAAAACATGTATTTATAAAATAAAATAAAAAAAGAATGATTTGCCCCAGGTACATGCCTGGGAGGACTGTTCCCATCTACCCATAGGGGAAAGGGAGATATGTTACCTGGGCAATGTATTATATGAATAATAGGCTTCACTTATGTGTAGAATATCGAGAAACAAAACAAAGAGATCAAAAACCAAACCAATGACCAACTCTAGAAACCTGACTAGAGCTAAGACTCCCAGAGGAGGCAAGGAGAGTAGAGAATGGGGTACATATGGGGCCCAATGGTGGGCATGGGTGCTCTGGTGGGGGTGCTGTCATCACATATAGCTACATTTGTGTTCCCCTGTACCTCTGAATCATACAGTGACATAAACTGATGATACCACAAAACAAATAAAGTTAACCTTACAAAAAATAAACAGTGTGTCATGATCCCAAATCCCACCATATGCGAGAGCACCGCTAGACTTCGTGTCCTTGTGCTATCAAGAATTGGTGGAGGGCTGGAGGATCGAAGGCCTTTAGCCTGGAAGATCGAAGGCTTTTAGTCTGGAGGATGCACGTTATAGGATGCTGGGAGCGGCCAGCACAGCAAGGCTACAGGAACCCGGATGATGAGTGGGTTTGCTATTTGTGAGCCTGGACAGGCTCCAGGGGGTGGGAGTAAAGAATCTTGGGGTGCTTTCCTTTTGACCATACTGCTGTGAAGTGGGGAAGGAATGTACACACATATCCTGTTCTCCCAGGTCATGGCCTGGAGCAGGCAGGCAGGAGGACAGACCACACGTTTGCCTTCAAGCAATGGGCCAGTGTTTTACCGGAAAAGGCAATGAGGGAGAAGGTGCTGTCAGCATGGTCCAGAGGTGTGTGTGGGCGTGGGGGTCCCCCATCCTTGTGCTCACCTCTTTCTTCCCTCATCTTCCCTGAAGTCTAGTTTTCTCCCCTAGTAACAACAGAGACTAAGCCCACTCAACTTTATAGATATAAAACTTTCAAATATTTAAAGACACACACACACTGACTCTCTGCTGCTTCACTCATCCCTTCTATAGATCATTAAATTACAATGCACGCCATGGCTTCTAAATTGCCACATTCTGAGAACAGTTGAGAGTTTGGAGCACTCTTTTTTATCTGCATGTTCTAATTGTCCCTTTGGAGGCAGAGAAATGATTCTCTTCTTTCTCTGTCTCTCCTTCCCTTTTTCTCTGAGTAAGTCTTCTGAACAAAATCCAGGAAACTTACATAACGTTTCCAGGATACAGAGTTATAAAGTGGCAGGTTCTGGCGGAGAATCAATGCTCTGGAGAGCTAAGCCCTGTGTTTCCAGAGTTAAAGACTCTCCCAGGGTCTCTGTGCCCCCTGGGGCTGCAGTATGGTGCTGAGGTCTTCACAGGCAGCTGCCACAGGGTCAAGCTGAAAATTTCTCACAACACAAGACAATACAAAGCACGGGTGGGGGTACACAATGGGACCCTTGCTCTGGTTTCAGAGTTTTGAGTTCTTTCACCCTCCCTTTATCTATTTTCGAATTCCCAGAGCAACTCCAGTAGTAACCAAGTTAGCATCACTTCAGAAGTAGCAGGTCCATGCGATCTGGGGCTACACACCTGTTTCTGGAGCAGGGATGGCGGTTGAGCAGTTCTCCTTCAGACACGTGCCCATCACCGAAGTCAGCATCGTGGTGGGGACGCTGTGACTACCTGAGGAGACAAAACCAGCACATGGCAGGAAGGCCAGGACACAACAGACGTTATGAAGGCGCATGAAGAACACACTGCTTCTGCCACTTCGCTATGCCCAGAGTCTCTGGCTCACTTAGTTCAGAACCCTGAACACAGCTTTGCCTCCTGAAGCAATTTTATAAACAGAGAAGAGGTCCCTGAGCCAACCCACTAAAAGCCTTGTCTACCTCCTTTAAGTGGTGGAGATAAAGTATTAATAACACTGTAGGCCTCACCACTGTGTGTCATGCAGCTACCAGGGCCAAATGCATTCCGGGCTCTGACTGAGACGCCACCCCAGTTCTCCCTATGCAGGGACATCCCAGGCTCCAAGCCACAGGCCCTGTGGCCAAGGGAGACTCTGCAGGCGGTGTCAGTTCTGACAGTCAAGGACAGGATTCCAGAGAACGGGACGTAAAATGCCTCTGGGAAGCAAGAGTCTCTGGGCGGATGCCAAATGGAGACCCTACTTTTCTCCCCTGGTCCCTAAGGGTCCACACCTTGGCAGTCGCCACTCAGCTCCCTGACCCAGCATGGGATAGAATATGTCCCAAGCCATCACCAAAAAATTTGTTAGATTCAAATGCCCCCAAACAGATGAATGGATCAAAAAGTTGTGGTGCATGTACACAATGAAATACTACTCAATACTCGGCAATCAATAAACTCATGCCAATAATGGCAACATGGATGGAGCTAGAAGGAATGATGCTATTCCTTTTCAGAAGGGAAAAGATAAATACTAGAGGCCTCACTTCCCTGCAGAATACAGATAACACACACAAAAAGTCAAGAGAAAGATGAAACAAACACCCTGACCATGGACCAGAGGCATACAGCAGGGGAGGGAGGGGCCAAAACAGGGGAGGGGAGAGCGCAAGGGACCACCGTGATGGCCCACAGGTGATATGCTGGTGGGAGAACTGGGGGACTGCACCTGAGGGGAGAAACCAAGTTCATCCTTCGCACATCTGTTCTCTGTATAGCTCCATCATGCACAGCCCCTCCAAAGAGACAATACTTCATCTTTACACGCAAGGTCCAGGGAACAAGGTCCAAGGTTCAGCACATTTCAAAGCATCCACCCACCATGCTCACCCCAGCTCTTGGAGGATTTGGGGAGGACATGGCAAATGAAGGCAGAGTTAGGGCACGTGATGAGAGGCGCCAGCCCTGGGAGTCAGGGGGCTGCCAGCACAGGTCCTGGAGCTGCAGCCAGAGTCCACCTGCTCCATCCGGCCCGCCCCCACAGTGGGAATAAGCAAGGGGCACCTTCTTACTGAAGGAGAAGGGAGTCTCTGAGTACCCCCTTTGGGAAGAGCACACACACAGACAGGAGTTACTGACTCTGTGCTGGACTCTGAGGGCCTGAAGTGAGGCTGCAAAGCCCACGTCTGTTGGGGAGCACAGAGTGGGCACAGACATACTGAATACTCAGGGAGGAAAAATGAAATGATGATGGCATTAGGAGAGGAGAATCCTAGAAAGGGAAAAAAGCAAACAGAAAGCTTTTCGGAGAAGGATCTGTTAGGGGGAGATGGAGGATTTAGACACCTGCAGACGAGATGAGGAGGAGGGGGCACTCCTCGGGAGCATCCAAGGACAAAGGTACACAAAAGGCGGAGGAAGCCTGAGGGGACCCCGGGGTACAGCCCAGAGACCTCGAACCATACTGAGTGCAGATCTCAGGAAGTTTTAAATGATCAAGAGACACAATTAGAACAGCTTTGGGATGAGTGACCTGTTCGGGGGCAGGGAAGCCATGAAAGGGGCTCCTGCAGAAGGGGGTGAATGGACTGAGGGTTTGCAGGGCAGCGCTGAGAGTGGGGAGCAGTCAGGGGAGCAATGTCGCTACCCCCACTGGTTGTTACCAGCCTCCTCCACCTCCTCGGGCTTTCCTAAGACCTCAGTCCCTGGCACAGCCCCTGGCGATGCCTTCATCTGTGGAGGTGCCCGGTGCCACCTACAGGTGACCATCCCTCCACTTGCACCAGTGCTTGCAACTCTCTGGGGAACTCCTGGCCTCCTCTGCGCATCCATGTGCCAGTGTCCTGCATCTAAAGCCATGTGCACAGAAGAACTGGACACCTCAGACCTTGGGCTCATTTGCCACCTCCATGCATTTTCCTGAGAACATCACTCATCTCTGGGAATGACAAGCATCTAATATTCGAAAACAGAAACCCTTCGCACAAGTAATACACGGCCTTAGAAATCACGACTGTCATGAGCACACTGGGTGCCTGCCCCATGGTGTGGTGCCAGAAAGCTCCTGTGAAGGAAACAAATTCAGGAAGGAATTCAAGAGTTTCACTTTGTTGTTATATGCTTTCTCTTATTTAAAACCTTTGGTACAAATATACATATCTACTTCTAGTGAAATGCTTGGCCACTTAGATCTAGTATTGTCTATTTTGTAAAAAAAAAAAAAAGTAAATATTAATATTCCTGAGGAAAATATGTTCACAGTATAATGGCACTGGCTTCCTTTTTAAATAACACAATTACAAATATTTACCACTGTACTTCGTTAAGCAGTAGCTATGGCACATATCTGAATTAGAAATTAGGATGCTTTAGTTAGACTTGCTATCTCCTGAATAATTCAATGTGATCCTATTCTGCTAAATAATTAAAACCCAATGATTTTTGAGAGCTGACCATTTATGATTCACCGAGAGTGTAGTAAAAGTAGAATTTTGGAGGCACTAATATGTGAACTTTTCCTCCAAATATTTAGGTCTGTAAAACTGGGAAAAGAAAGGGAGAACAAGAAAGGCAGTGGCAGAAAATATTTCATGTTTGAGTAGCCAAGCTTGGGAACTTCCAATCTACAGACGTGTCTAGTCTGTGCTTTAATCACCTCCTAGTGGATCTACAAGCCACTTAACTAATCCATGTCCTAAGGAAGATACTATCCAGCATCACTAACTTAAAAAGCAATGTCTATTAAAGGCTAGAAAGAAGATTGCTGATAGATATCATGATTAAATCACTTCAAAGCGAACGGTTTGAGGAGAGGGTCATCTCGTGATTCCACCCTCTCCCACTTGGAGAGGAACTCCAAGTAGAGACACTAACAGCCAAGCAGGAGGTGAGGATTTCTGTCTGATGAAGCAGAAGGGGATGAAAAAGAGCAACACAGAAATTGAACCAAAATATCAAAAGCCAGGAACAAGGAGAAGAGAAAACACTAGAGTGAATATTAAGTAAAATGTTCAAAATAGGACGGATGGAAAGAATCAGCCTCACACCCAAAAATCACAATGCCAGTACATGGATGATGACTTATCTGTCTCACAACAAAAACAAAAATTAGAAATTCTGACAGGCTGCTACACAACAATATTTGAGCATTTTTGTCTGTTTTAAATTTCTCACTCTTTGATCATCTCCAAATCAAAGTAGTTATCACTTTTAATTGTAATTAATATCTAGACTTCAGACAACAAAAGCATGAGATACTATGATAATATATGAGGTAACCCTCCCCCCCACAATGTGTGGGTAAGAGTTGCTAATGATGCTATTTGTCATTTGGGGGAAGACAGGGAGACAGAAAAGGAATTCCAAAGCGGCCCACAGGTCTGTCTGTCTCCTGAGCTCCTCCCGGTTCCCCTGTGGTGGTGCTAACAAGCACATCAAGCCCCTACCATCCCCGAGACACCATGTGGAGGGAATGGCAATACCTGTTGTGGGGGTTCTGTTTTTCAGCCGATCCACTTCCATTGTGAAGTCATCTTTCAAGAAAAGGAACCCAATGATGGAAAACAGGTAGACCAGGATGAGTGCGAGCACGGCGGTGAGGATGATGGAGCGGCCATTGCGGGTGACACTTTTTATGACGTTGAGCAGAGTCTCTTCTCTGTACACCAAGTCAAAGAGCTACACAAGTGAGGAGAACAGAAGCAAGGATATGCAGTGGAGCAGAAAGTGAGGAAACACAGAGGCAGGTACAAAAACAAAATAACCTAAATTTTACTTTAGAAATGAATGAAAATGTGCATTTCTTCTCTAGTTGAAATGTATTACTAAACTGCTTCTCCAACATGATGATACAGCAATTAATGTGCATTTCTTAGTGTTGTAATCAACACACTCAATTTTGTAAGACATAGAATTAGCTTCACATTTGAATGTAGAAAAATTTTAACATCACATTTCACCACAAGTACAATATTTGCACTTATATAGAATTTAGAAAAATTATAATAGTGTACCTAACTTGCCAGCTTACTTTTTATTTTTAGTCTGACAGTTATTTGCTTCTGGAATGTGAAAATTGGGGAACATTAGAGTGCTGAACTAGGGTCCACTAGTATGGAGGATAATGAACAGATTCCTTAAATTATTATTTGATAAAGAATGTGAGGTGGATTTATGGGAACAATTTTATGAACCTATTTGAGGATGCAAACATCTCCCATACTAAAAGGGTGCAACGAGGCCCAAGCCTGTTAATTTGGAAATATAAGTAAAGACCCAGCACACAATTTAGCTAACTCGAGTCCTCGAATGGGCTAGTAGCCAATCTGCGCTTGGCAGTGGCAAATCCATACACTTCATCGAGACCCAGCTACATAGCTCTGTACATAATCAAAGCCAGAACATTATCAACCTGTTAGGACATGTTTTATTATACATAGCTGCTTAAAAGAAAGAAGTTAACATTAGTTTTAAAGAAGCCGTAAAACATATGCCTAGAAATAAACAGTATTAAAAAAATTAGAATTATTGGGGTCTTGCTCAACTGCTCTCTCTGGGCAGTGAGTAGACTTAAGGAACTGCTCTGAGTTACTGGTCACCAGTGTCCAGCATCCTTTTGAAAACAGGCCGGGGGCCTGCTTTCCTGACTACTGTCTCAAACACAGTTATTTTCCAACTGAACTGTTGTCTTTCAATGGAATAATGGTAAAGATATTAATGTGTTTGTTCACCTTAAGAAACTGAATTTTTAAGGTCAAATACAAAAAAAAAGTTGAACGCTCGTAAGGGGAACTAAGCAGTCTTTGGCAGCTAAGGCAGTGTGCCCATGGACAAGATAACTATTGCAAATGCAGCTTCTCTAGGAGCCACACGTGGGCTAATTTGACTTAAACATTTAGTTGACACAAAGATTTTGCTTTGCTTTGACTGAAGAGTAGCTTAGAAAATAAGGCCTGGCAGTAACCTCAAGGTCACTTCTCAGTAGCTTGTGAGAGCTCCGAGCTGGGGAGGCCCATGGACCGTTGCGCTAAGTTGCATAATCCTAAGCCCCATTCTGGAGAATTCAAGACCCACTGGATAGGTTGGAGGCTTTTTGTCTTTATTTCTGAAAGGAACACCCAGAGTATGGTTTTTATTATTCTGAATAAAGGATAGACACATGTGGACACAACTGGGAATGCACATTCATATATCTTTTAAATATAAAAAATGTTAAGATAGATTTAAATGCCATTTTGATACTAGGTACATTCTGACCTCTTTCTCATACTCTAAGCACTGAAAGGATGATATCCTTTTCATAACGAACCCAATGAAGACAAATCAGTGTCAGAATTATAAAAAGTGGAAGACAAAAGGGGAAAAACCCCCAGAAAATAAGGTTAACTAATATTACTATTAATAACTCATGGAGTAACTCATACACATTCTGTCAAAAGTTCTCCTTGGAAAATAAGGACATCATTTCACATGTTTTTTATAGGATCTGTTCAATGGATCTTCACATTATTGAAGGTCTCATGTAGTCTTCATTTTAGAGACAAAAAAATTACAGACTATTATGTACCACAATTAAGTAAAAGTGTATATATTTAACTTTTATATCAGGGCAGATATTTTAAAAGTTTTTTTTTTCCCCTGTCAAATCACATCAAACAAGGAATTTATTCTGAATTCTAAAGAAAAGTATCTACATTTACTTGCTGAATAGTAGAACTTAATTTTGGTTCAAAACATAAGGGGCAAGCCCATGCTTCACTGTGACTCTATCATGTCTTTGAGAACCAGTGAAAAATTACACCTTTCAGGCCCCTGCAGCGGGTAGGTTCTAGGAAAAGGCGCAGGAGGCAATGATCTGTCCCTCATGACTCAAGCGAAATAGGTTAACACAATGCTTTTAGCTCTTCAACCTGGTTCAAAAATTATCTTACTAGGTTGTTCTCTCTACTACATGTCAGCTATAAGTGCTAGAGAGAAAAATAAATTGCTTAGTGGCATCACAATGCCAATCTGGGGGTCCTTTCATCCCCAATATTATCATCTTTGTTTAGTAACCCCTCTTGGTGTAGGGTTTAAAACAGTAGATATGTATGAAGGAAAACTAATGGCCACCCCCTACCTCCCCAAAAAACTGGGAAAAATCTGAAAATTCATTTAACAATTTAGAGATAAACAGATAAGCTAAACTGCAATAAGCTGCTAAATCTGAAACTCAAAGACTGGTATAACTATTCATTGTGTTTTTACAAGATTGACAGTTTTCTCTCATTTTACTGCCTTGCCAACCTAAAGATATTCTTAACACTATAAATAAAATACAATGATACCAGTACCAAGAAAATATTCCCCTATTTTTTTCTCCCATACTCTGTTGGAGAATGTGTAAAGGTAAAAAAGTATGATGTGTCAGGAGGTGAGGTCACTGGTTCCTTCTGATAAAGAAAGTAACGAATTCCATCTATGTGGTTTCTCAGAAAAAAAAAAAAAGACTAAAAATAATAATAATTCATGCTTTT